AATATGGTTGTTGTTAAACTTGTTGAATGCTGGTATCGAACTCATGCGGAAGCGGCTTTAGATTCTCAGTGCTGTGCTTTAACCCGCTGCGCCACCAGGGAGGGCCAAGATAATTATTTTTTAATGGGAAAAATTGGTTGAATGCTTAATATGGTTGTTGTTAAACTTGTTGAATGCTGGTACAAGATTTTTTTACAAAATTTTACCCTTTGCTCATAAAGTACTTTTAAAGTGGATCATACTGTATTTACTACTCATCATAAAAATCACCAGTGATTATATCTATTATTTTATAAGAAGATTTACAGTCACTTTACATGAATAAAATGGTGTAAATAAAACAAGTAAGTTGCTATATTAAATAGAAAAAAGTTTTGATCATTTCTTACCTGTCATCGAAGGTTCTGTAAGTATCTTGCAGAGTTGAAGTGTGTGCATCCCAATAGTATTTTAGCAGGTCATCAAAGCTTCTAAAAGGTGACTGCAAATGCTACAGCAAATAAAAGAAATGTCTTCATAGTTGAGCAACTATAACAATTTTCCATACAATTTAATCTTGTTCACATTTACAAATTAGCCAGATTCTATGTGAGAGGGGCATTTTGTTTCAAGAATTAATTTGTATAAATCATCAGTGACCAACACTCTGTAAAGACTATAATAATCATATGTTATTAGTAGTAATATTGACTATATTTCTAAGAAATGAGCTGCAAGTATTTTCTCCAGTCAATATTTTATACTGGTCATGAGAACTCTATTTTTTGCATATTATTTGGCTTTCTGCTATCATAGTTGAAACTGCAACAGATTAAATAAAGGGAAAATTTTTATTAGCATATTTGTTTTCATATAGTGTTCTCATTTATAGAACTTGTAAATCTATCTTTTCAGCATTGAACTTAGTCTTTCTCTATGCTTAGCCAATGTATTTTATTTTGAACATTTGATTTTGATCATGACGTTAAGTGTTTAGTTCTACCTGTATGTCATCACAGTAATTTAATTGAAATGCATTTATTGTCTGTTCTATAACTAATTCCATAATCATATTTCTCCAAGAGTTATCTTTGGTTGACCAGATGATTCAGTTAACCAAAATAATCTCTCTAGTTAATAAGATCCTGTGTTTTCATATTTATGTCTTAGGGTGAGTGAGTGCAGACATTTTATGTTAATGCTGTATTGGAAAAGTGGGTGTTATTGATATGTAGTATCCTGCTGCATTGTCCCCCATGTTTATTGCTGTTTTATTTACAATCAGAAAGACATAGAAACAACCCAAATGCCCAAAAGTGGATGACTGGATTAAAAAGATATGGGACATATACACAATGGAATATTACTCAGCAACCAAAATAAATAAATAAATAAATAAATAAACACATGCCTTTTGCAGCAACATGGATGGAGCTGGAAAAGATCATGCTTAGTGAAATAAACCAGAAAGAAAAGGAAAAATACTGGATGGTTTCACTCATAGCAGGAGTATAACGGAGCAGGTGAGAAAATAATAATAATAATTTTATGGGAGTGGAGTGGGGAATGGGATCAAAAAACAGTGGGGGGAGGGAAATGCACTGGACTATGGTGATGGCACATGGGTGATTTGGTGATGGGAAGCCCATGGGGATTACAACTGAGATGGAAAAATGTCCAAAATGATGTAAAAATAAACTATTACATTATTTTAAAAAATAACCTGCTGCATTGTAATAACATTGATGTAACTCACAAAACTCTTTATATTTTTAGACTTAGGGAAATATATAAAACACACAATAAAACAAGATAACAGGCACTTGAATAATTCTCTTCCCACCTCCAAACAGAGTAAGTTACAAAACTTAAAAAAAGAACCTGGTAAAAGACGTTCCACTTTCTCATCAATTCTGGGTGTGATGACTGGCAACTAGAGAGATTAAAACAGAACTTTGTCTGCTCTACCAGTGGCGGCAAAAATAAGACTTGGTCTGATGAGATGCCCATGATGCCAGAATCAACCGCAGCAAGGAAAGGTAAGACACATAAAAAGTAATTTATATCTGTAAAAGCAAAATAAAAATTAGTATTTTAAGCACTAACAAATGTCACAGAGGATATTTTAAAGTACTTTGTAAATCACAGAACAACAACTCATAGATTGGAATATTTATGAAACAACTGCAAAAAACAAAATATATTGTAAAAAATTAGAAGATACATTTTAATTATGCTAGTATTGTCTCTGACTGAAATCTTAGATTACCAGTTGATAAAATGGGATGTGGTATATTAACCTGTGGCATGTTTATGGGTTTAAAGATAAAGACACTTGGTCTGAGCACAGAGAGAAACAGCGTTCCCCTTCCTTTGTGGGAACTGTGCTCTAACTTCCCGTGCTGACCTATCAAAGGCAATCAACCGTGTTCTCTGCAATCCTTTAAGAAGATGAAATCATGATTGACATTGTAACTGCTAAATCCTAGACTGTGACATTAAGACCACAAAGTACACAATGAAGTAGGTTTTATTTTAAGAGTACTGTTTCTTTTTTGTCTCAATTCAAAAGAGTTTAGGTTGAATACTTCCTTTGGGGCAAAGTTATTACCTATTTTACTTTTAATGAACCTACCAGCCCACCAGCTGTCCACAGAGATGCACAAACGATTGGATTCATAGCCACAGTGTGTCATTTGCTTGGGATCAGCTAATCTGCCTAGAAAAGAGAATACAGGGACGTATTTTGAAACTGGTTATAATTGGCACTTTCAACAATTGCATTGTTCATGAAAATGCATGGACATTTATCAGCCGACTATCTACTTACCACTCTTTACCCTTCCTTTCCCACCTCTAACCAATTTTGTAAACCAATTTATTTCCTTTCTCTAATTTTACAATTTTTCTACTTTTGAATTATCTTGGAGATTTGTTGCACTTTTATTTTCTCTTCTCTACTTACCTTCAAAATGTGGGAGGCAATTTGCAGAGACCTGAGCCAAACCAAATGGTGATTCTGATGTTTACTAGTTTGACATTTGCTAATAATTTATCACTTATGTCTTAATCTCCAAATCTGTAATTTATGATATCACCAACATCATAAATAGGTGACAAAAAGCATTTCTCCTAAAGAGTATAGTTTTAGCCAGGTCTTGCTTTGTAATGAGAGTAATAAGGGCTTGAATATACCCATTCAGTCTCCATCTGTCTACCAATGACATCCAGGTTCTCTGAGGTTGACATGTGCTCTAAAGTAGACTTGGTGTTAATGACTTCTCCTGCACCCCGGTTATTTTAACCCCACGGAAAACCAGATCAATAAGAATAAGGCTTTGGTCTCATGACACTGCCTTACAAAGATGGATTACTTGTTAACCTCAGTAACTCCTATACGTAGCCACTATTCGACCCTCAGATAAACCTTAATTTATTTATATGTTTTTCCCATGAGAACTGAGAAAATTTGCTAGTTGACAGTGTTATCAGTATGGAGTGGGAAGAAGGCACCTCTTTCTTTCATGAGATTTTTCTGTAGGATGAAATGAAAATTACTTGTAATTCATGAATCTTTGGCCCTAAAATATCTATTAACTAAAGAATGGAATATACTTTCCTTTCCAAAAGAACCATTTGCTAATAAACATTCTCATGAAAAAGGTGCCATTTCTTGCCAATCACCTCTATCCTCGTGTACAAGTAATCACAACTAGAATTTAAGAAATTCAAACTAATTTTAAATCAACTTTTGATTTTAATGGCTATCTCTGTGACCCTTGACTTCTTCCCAATGCTGATAATGAGCCTGGTATCAAGTAAAAATTTAATAAACACTCTTAGATGCTTCAATAGATTAGCCATAAAGTCTTTCTGTGTATGGCAAATATGTCGTAATACCCCAATACAATAGCTATTTAATACAGGCAGCATATAAAAGAAGGATTTGGAGAAGAGCAGCAGAAGTAGAAAGCATAGTGAAGGGAAAAGAAAGAAAACAATTTAACACACTTCCAAAACCATGATATGATATACTGAATCCCATTTTCCCACTTACTTCATGGTTATGTTGATAGATCCTAAGAATGTAAACAAGAATCAGTCTTACCTGAACTATATTGCCAGCCATGTTGCAAAGCCAATCCCCATAAAATATTCTGTTCACCTCCTGCTGCAAATCTTTCAAAAAACTTGGCTGTATTGTTTATTAAGATTTTATATGCCCCTATTCTATCAAAATATGTCCATGGATCAATAATGTATGTTCCATTCTCTACTTTATAGTCACTAAACTGACCAGGACTCTCCTTCCACAGAGGGGGATACAGATCTGACAGACTGGATGTTCCTGCTAAAGAAGCAGAGAAACAACCAACTAATACACAGATCCAAGGGTGAAGCAAAGCCATCCTTACAACACTGGAGCTTAAGCTTGTGCACAGACTTTTATTGGGAAATAGAGGAAGAATCGTGGTATTGGCTTTTAGCCCACAATGTCAGCATTCTGTTGTTTTCCCATGAAGATGGTAAAAAAGATAGGAATGCCTTTTCAATCAAAACAAGTTGACTTTCTCTTAAATACCATCTGCAACAGAGCTTGTTATTCACATGACAGTTGAAATAAGTTCCTGGAAACTTGAATGTTAAATAAGTAAATATCTTACACAAATTTTAAAAACTACTATTATATCTCATTGTATTCTTGCCTCTCAAATTAAGTATGAGACATTCATGACCTTATTTATCTAGAAATGTAAAGATGTGGCATTTACTGGATGTCTACATAAGAGTTTACATATTAAACCTTAGATTTTAAAAAGCCCTTGGAAAACACTTGTGCATTTGGCTCTCAAAATTCTCAATCTCAGGTAAATGAGAAAGGTGATTCATTGTGCCCAGACTGTGCTAGCGATGTAGTTATGTTTAACATGTGTCTTCCTTGTAGAGTTTGCAGGTTTTATATATAATAGCCCCCAAACTGCTGCTTGGACGTTGAATCCTTAGTGAGTATCTTGAGAAAAACTATCAGGCATGCATTGCTACATTTTTCTTTATGAGAAAAAAAGCTAAACAGTTGTACAGCTTTGGTGGAAGGGGTGGAGGGTGATATGGATCAAATTGATATATTGTTTAATATAAAAATAATTGAATTTTGGAGCTTCTGCTTCAGAGCCTAGGTTAAGATGGCCTATAGTACTGTAAGTAAGACTACTTGTCCAGACAAATCATCTCTGGGTTCCCTAGCTTACATTATGATTATATAATATACCACCAATGACATTAGGATGTACCCTGCTCATTAAGAAAAAAAAAAAATGCCTGTAATAGATTGCATGGAAAATTTGAATTAAGTTGAAGATTGATATTCTAGGACTTATAATAGTGGGCAAAGATATCTGAAAAGATATGAAAGCCCCATCAAATGAACTTTCTGCTGTAAAGAAGAAGCCTGGTGTGCCTGTATATGAAAAAGACCAAGTCAGTTAATGATAAAAACTAATTAGTTCCCGATTTCCCTTTTTCCTTAGAATTTTAGCTGAGAAAGTGGTCATGCAGAATCAAGGTTACATTTCCAGTATCCTGTGCACAAATAACCAAGCTACTAAATGCTGGAATAGAAATAAGAATGATATCCACATGTCATTTAAAAAGAAGGCATAGCCTGGATCAAGAAGATATGCTACCAATACACGATGGAATATTACTCAGCAATCTAAAAAGATAAACTCATGCCATTTGCAGCAACATGGATGGAGATGGAAAGTATCATGCTTAGTGAAATAAGCCAGAAAGAAAAAGAAAAGTACTGTATGGTTTTGCTCATAGCAGTAGTGTAAAGGATTGGGGGGTAGGGGTGGGAAGCAATTGTAATAAAGAAAAAAAACTAAAATCAACAAGCAACTATAAACCAAAGGTATTCTTTGGGGATGGAGAGGGGAATAGGATCAAAACTGGGATGGGAAGAGCATACAGGTCTATTGTGATGGCACATGAGTGAATTGGTGGTAGGAAGCCCATGTGGATTACAATGGAGATGAAAAAATATACAAGGTGAAGAGTGATTTTAAATATATATCTTTAATAACAATAATAATAATAATAAATGTAAATAAATAAATACAATTAAAATATTTTTAAAAATAAAAGAGAAGGTACAATACTTTCTTATCCCTTCCTTTATGTTGTGGCTTGGATCATGGGCATCACACCATCCTGACATCCGAGGACAGTGAATCATGTTGGGTATGGCAGAATATAAAACGGAAGGCAGCCTGAGAACCAGGGAACTGTGGAAACACGAGCTGTCCCTGAGTACCTCCAACCGGATTTTTGCCTGAGGAACTCTTTGTATCTCATTTAAATCTTTGGATTATTTGGACTTTATTTACACAGCATGAATATGACTACCTCACTAAAAAGAGAAAAGCTCAACTCTAAGTATCACTAGAGACTCCTGTTTCACAGAAGGTCACACTCCTGACATAGTCCAGAGACAATACTTCTGAGCATTGTGGAACAAGAAAAGAATATTCTAGCTTTTGCACTGTTGGGAATGTGTATCTCTGCCCGGACAGGACCTTTCAAAGATTGGAATCAGTGAACATTGATACTTAGTCACTGTGTAAAACCCTGAGGGGAGAAATAAAGGAAACAGAAACATCTGGAAAAGTCTACAAAACAAATCTGAGGTCATGTTTGCAAGTTTCAGGAAAAAGCAACATGAGCTAACACCCTGACTGTATCCCCATTAATAAAGGTAATTTTAAGATAAGAGATTCAAACACCATTTTTCAAATACTTTTTATTTATATCTTTTAAATGACTGTGTATTCCCCATAAAATTCCTACCACCAGTTCATTCGTGAACCATCACCATAATTCCTTGTGCTCTTCTCTCCCTTCTTAAGCCTTTGTATTTAGATTTTATTTACACAACATGAATATAACTGCCTGACCAAAAAGAGATGCAACTGGAAATCTCAACTGTTAGTATTACTAGAGACGCCTGTTTCACAGAAGATCACACTTCCTCAAAGATTATCTCTTATTAATGGTTGTCTGCTGGTTTTGTTGTTCTATTATTATCATTATCATTATTTTTTTCCCAATCCCTTATTTGATTCTTCTATATTCCTCTTATAAGTAAAACCATTTGATTTTTTTTTTCCTTTCTGGCTTATTTCACTGAGCATGGTTACTTTAAGCTCTGTTCATGTTTCTGTGAGTGGCATGTATTCTTTTGTGATTGCTGAAGAGTATTCCATTGTGTGTATGAACCATTTCTTTTTGGTCCAGTCAACTATTTTGGGGCATCACATCTTCCCAAACACATATAATCGAATGAATTAGTTCTGCACAATTAAGGGATTACTTAAAAATTATGAACAATATTTCTCCTTTACCAATTAATTAAATTTGCTAGCAACTGCTTGCCTTTAGCTAACTGAAAATATTAGAAAATAATTAGATATTTTCTCTACTTCGTTAATAAAAAAATATGTATGATTATTTTGCATGTACTTTCCCTATATAATGAAGGTCATAAACCTCTAAGCCAGACAACATTCACTCAAAGAAATCTGACATTGGTTTCTTGAGTTCTCAATTTAGCTCTGAAATGCCTTTTTCATAAATTCTTCTTTTACTAAGCTTTTATTTGCTTTACATCAGTGATTATTTCAGACAATAATAGAATTCAACAGTTTTACTTCTGTTATCGTATGTACTCAAAATGGCCTATATAACTAATTATTCAACTTTGTAAAAAGAGCAATATCAAGATGAAGTATTGGAAATTTTGTTTTGTTCTAGATCAAGAACACAAGCATTCTGGATATTAAATATTTATAGTCTATCTTTATATAAAAAAGGGATATATGGTTACACATTGTTACACATTTCTCTAAAGCCAAATGCCAGCATCCTACTTATTGGGGAAAACTCTCAAGATTATTCCCTTCAAAGTCAGATATAGGATTAAAAACTACTGTGACAGTCATTATCGTTAATTTTCTTTGATGAATTCTTCTCTTATCTAGGGCCTAGGAGGCAAGAAAGCAAAGTCATCTTCTGTGATGCAGGAATCTATAGTCTGTAGGTGAAGCTAGTCTTTTCACACTCTTTTCACACTCATGACAAAGGAACCAAAAAAAAAAAAAAAATAACATTGGCTAACCAGTCTGCATCTTTATATCCATTCTTTAGAAAAGAAGACAATAAATCCTACATTACTTTTCTCTAGAATCAGCATATTTTTAGATATGGAAAACTTACCCCTCCTGTCAAGGATAATTACATTCTTAATGGTGACGTCTCTGATTGTGCCTATGTGAACTAAATTCAAACTTGTGTTCATTAGTACAGCTCTCATAGAGTAAAATCTGTCAGACTTTCCCAGGTTCAAGTCTTCACTTTGGTTATCTAATAATCTCTTTGTGTAGCTATGATGGAGTGTTTACTTTGAGTTAGCACAATAAAGTATAGATAAAGAAACAAGAGGTTATTTTTGTAATGCAAGTGCTGAGACATCTAATTCAAGCAGACGAACTTGAATAAACATATCACCAGTCACACCACTACATAAATAATCAGGCTTTCTCCCCACACTGAGACGTCTTTGTTTCAGATACTAATTGATTTAAACAATTAGTTGGCCATTGTGGGAAGAAGGGGAGGTTCATTGTCCTTCATTTGTCTCACTTTCAGCCTGCGATTTAATTGCTACCCTTATATTTTAAATTTACCAATAGTGAGCCCACAGTCTATAAACCCTGGGTTCCCAACTTTGACCCCAATAAAAGCAGAACCCCACGCTCTTGCCCTCTCTTTTAACTGTGAACTCACTGTTTGGTCTATGTGTGTTGTGTAATTTCCAGGTCTTGAAAGTAAACTTTTATTTTTTCAGTTTCTTGATTGCTGCTCCTGAAAGGCATTTTGCAATCTTATGAACCACAGAGAGCACTATGGCCCAACAGAGGTTACTGGTAGACTGAAACAGCATAAAGTCACAGGTGAGTTGCATGCATTGAGAGCTTCATGATGGCCCTTGCAGGGGAAGTCATCATGTAGGTAGCTGGGGAACACCCGTACATAGATAACCTGTATGAGTAATGCCATCTAGGTATAAGCACCAGTCACTGGTGATCTGTAGAATTGCTAGGTGCTTTTGTGCATTACCTCTCTCCTATGTTGCCTACATGTCTAACTCATAAGGTTTCAGGTGCTATAATAATTTAACACACTTTCCAAAGCCATGTGGTTGAAACTATATGGATCAATGAGCTGTTCAGATCACTAATGTGCAATAGGATCCTCCATGACACAAGGCCAAAGACAGCTAAGGAGGGAAGACTGAACCATCAGGTAATTGTTACAATCCAAGGAGCTACTTGATGCTAATGGCATTAGAAGAATATTTCCCTGGGTGAGGAGGATGAAAGAGCTCCATCTGCAGCCTCTCAACAGTGGGTCATGCCCTTTCCTTGTATCATGACTAAGAAGAATGAGAATAGCCTTGCAAACAGACACTAATTGCACCCTGAGTAGATTTCTATGTCAACACTTCACTTATTACATTAGCTTTTCATCCCTGATCAGATGGGATATGATGTCTTCAACTCCTGGAGCAAATTTCTTTAAGAAAAAAATTAATAATGTGTGGGACTGCTAACTTCAGCAGCCTGTTTGGCCATCATTTTTGTTACCTGCAGCTCTGCATTCCTATACAAGATCAGAACTGTCTGGTTACTAAGTCACAGAAGCCCAATCTTACAAGGTGCCTTTCAAATCAACCAAGAACAGACAGCTGGATCACCCTGGGAAGGCTGTGCATCACGAGGTATGACTGGGAACACCTGGGGGGCTGGGGACCAAAGTATGACAAAGGATCCCAGATCAGGGTGCTTTGTTGGTAAGATTGGCACCATGGCTGGGGACTTGGGGTCTAGTTTTTATTACAACACTTGGTCACTAAGCAGATAAAGAATTGTCTGGCCAGCAGACTCATGTCCCATCCCACCCCCCAAGTCCTAGATGACAAAAACACATTCCTTAGTTTCACCTATCTTTTTCTCTTTGTCCTTCTTACCCCTCATAACTGATGCTGTATGATTATTCCATCAATGCAAAGGCCAGGATCTTGCTTGTTCAGCAGCATCCTGCGTGGTTAGCCTGCTCCACAACTCCCGTTTCTCAGTGTGGTGTTGCCAATGAACAATAGAGAGGGAGGGATTAGAAAACGTGATAGTGGGTAGGAAACATGATGGACGATGGTGGAGGACTGTGGTGCTTCTGTGGTGGGAAAACTATGGTGCCCATACCTGAGGGGAGAAATCCTAAAATAAACAAGAATATTAAAAAAAAAAAGGACAAGTGTAAATATCTTGAATGTCTATGCCATGTTATTTCAATCATAAAATTTACCAGCAAAATAATAACAATGACAACATGTTGACGACTCTAATGCCCAACAAATTATTCATGGTACTCTAAGCACAATTATTAGATAAATGTAAGTGAGATAAAAGATTGGTTGTAAATTTTTCAGCAATGATTTCCTGTGAAATGGATGCTTCAGAGGAACTGAAGCTATCGGGGCTTATTAGTAAACAGTCCCTCATTTAAAAAAAATCTACTGAGAAAGACTTGTACCCAACTCCGCCTCCGATGTCTTCCTCACCACCTAACCCCTTCCCTCTTTCCAGGAATCTCTGCTCATGGATGCCCCTCCCACCTTAAGACCCTGCTTGTTCTGTCCTCCAACAACCTGTGGTTGGGGCCCGACCCCGACACATGGCACCCTTATATGTGGGGCTTCAACAGGGATTCCAACAGGGACTTAAAGGGAAAAAAGAAAAAGAAAGAAAGAAAAAAAACCCTGAGCTGATAAGCATGCTCTAACCCGTCTTTTTCCTTTAAGAACATTTAGAAACGTAACAGTGACATTGTACAATCATGCTAGCAATTTTTTTAAATAAGAAGACCTTCAGTTTTAATTTTGATATTTCTTTGAATTTTTGTCTTTTATTTTCCTTGTTTTTATTTTATCTTTCAAGTTATTTTTAATCATTTGGGCTTATATGAACAAAACTGCAGTTACATAAAATTTCATATGTAGTAACTAAAAACAAACTGCTTGCATGTTACATGTTACATGTCTGTATGTCTTTTCCTTGTGTTTGTCTTGGCCTCACGGTGTTCTAAATTGGTTTAAATGGTGCCTATAGATATTGTAAACAAACAAAAATGTAATGTTTATGGTAACTGATTTGTTTTAAAGCTGGTTATATTTGTATAATTTTTTTTTGCTCTTATTTGGGTTGATAACATCAGGCAAATGGAAGTTTACCATAATTAAAGTTTAATATATATATATATATATTTAGTATAATACAAAAAAGGGGGGGGCTATGGTTTGGTTGTCAACATTGTCCCACTAAACTAAGCCAGAGTTTTCCCCCCCAAATTGAGATTGTCATTGCTGCTATTTTTTATTGTCTATTTGTGACAAAGCTTCCCAGAATTCTAAGTTAAAATATAACTTGGTAGTTTGTCATTTAGTTCATTGAAGGAAATTTTGTGGAACCTCAGTAGAGCTCCTGAGACACTCCATAAAATTTCTCTCTTTCTCCATAAAAAAGACATTCAGATCAATTTATCCAATTTGGCATATGTAGTAAATTAAAACTAAAAAGGAAGCACTGTCACTTAAAAAAAAGAAAAGGAGGTTATCCTGTGACAAACAACTGTAAACATTGTTTTTCTAAAATGTGTACAATTTTTTTGATATGTAAATTGTAAATAATGTTAGTCATTGTCCTATAATACTAGTTCAATAATTTGGTATTTACTGTACTGGCCAAACTTAAAATTTTACAAATACTAAAATTTTACTAGTGTTTCTTTAATAAATCTAATAATAGACTTTAGAGTTTTAAAAATGGTATCAAAAATCTACATAAGATAGATATAATATTTTAAAATTTAAGTTCCTTGGAAACCATCATATGCAATAGATTTTCCATTTGATCAGCTGGAATGTTATATATGTTTGTTTTTTATTAGAGATTGAGGGTATATAGTAAGTTGTAGAAGGTTTGAGGAAACGTAAATTTTATTTGCTGATTTGTTAAAAGTGTTAGTGGTGTCTGAAGATCTAAAAAAAGCAATTAAAAATGTTTGGTTGAACTTGAGTGTATGTAGTAAGTTGTAGAAGGCTTGAGGGGAAATAAATTTTATTTTCCTTGGTTTAGAAGACTGAAAATAATAGGTTTAAAGAGAAACAATGATATGTGTTTGGAAATATGAAATTATTCAGTTGATTTATTCACATGATGGAAGACTGATTAATCTTATGACTAAATGTTTTTGTTAAAATAAAATCCTAGTCTTAAAAAATCATCAAACCTTAAAATCACAAATATTAAAATCACAACAATCAGATTATAAATATACTTCTGTACATAATAAATTATGTTTTATTTGTTATCAACTACCTTAATTGTGATTCTCTCCACTGGGAGCCAAAACAGTTCTAACCAAGCTATTAGTTATGTACAAGAACCTGCTGACAAAATTATAAAAATAACCAGATATATTACTAACTTGTGGGTGAGGCTATGTTTCTATTTTTCTACAGGATGCCGACTCACTCTTCTGGATTCTGGTTAGATTAATTCAACACCATGGCTCACAGGCTTCCACTACTCCCATGAGAACTCATAGACCTTTGCTTTCTATAAATGTTCCACTAAACTACAGTTCTGCCCATTCTCCTGAAGATACTGAAGATATTTTGGTTCCTCCTTTGCTGGCTGTGACTTGAAATATCATAACTAATTGTATTGATCCCACAATTGTCTTGGTGACTGCTCATTAACCACCCTATGCATTATTGCACGTTGATTTAGAAGATAAATGGTATGATGCCTTGGTATATATACTCTTCAGCTGGTTAAATAAGCTTTAAATCATCTAAGAGATTAGTTGCTGCTTTAATTTTAAAAATTACTTCTCTTATAACAATTATTAGTTCTTCTGCTATATCTACTACTCCATTAGTACAAAAAATACATACATAAAAACACATGTATATAAATTGACTCAAATATTTTCACTGCATTGTATTTATAAGAACAAATAGTTAAAAAATTGGAGGCTTATTTAAATGTTTTAAAAGAGACTGTTTTATATGTATGCAATCAGATTTAAAATATTAAGACTCACTTGACCACTAGTTGTCACTCTCAATGCAAATGGATTTGTGTTATCTCCCCTGCCCCCCTCAGTACAACTCTTCTGTTCCATGGAAAAATGTTAAAAATTATTTACTTGCTGTATGGAATGTCCCCCTTCATACGTCTTCCTTGCAGGATGAAATTAAGGTTATTAGCCTTCCTTATACCCCTGCTGCCTCTCCTGCTGAAGTTGCTGACTCTCTTCTCTCTGCTCTTCAACATTATACCTTTACAACTGCTTGGCTCTACACTCCCTCCTTGATTAATTTTGGCGTTTCCCTCCTAATCATTCCCTCTCTCCTGTTTATATTTCCAGTCTTTGTCTGCATCCTCTTCACAGCCCTCAGAAAGACCCACATTGAATTAAAGGCATTTCAGCTTCAATTAAAAAACAAAAGGGGGGATGACACAAGCTATTGCAACTTCTGTCAATTGACAAATTCCAGATGGAAGGGAAAAGCTCTGAAAAATCAGAATTTCCATGCCAACTTATGTTACAACCTCCCTTTTTTGTGCAATCATAATGTAACAGGTACAGGTTTCATGGACTCCACCCCCACTCCAGATACTGGAACTACAAATCCCATCAATACCAAGGAGAAGCACACTGGGACGTGAGAGCGGAGCTGAGCAGCCAGGTTGGGATAAAACCGGACATGATGGCTCTGGGGTTCTTTTGGCTTGATGGTTCGCGGCTGATAGTTTTGGCACTCAATCAGTTTTCAGCGTGCTGGTGGAGTCCAAGTCAGCAGATCTGGAAGGACATCCTAGTTAACTTGTATTTCTCTCCTTCTTGCCCTGGGTTATTCCTTTACCTTTCTCCTTATAAATAAATCCATTATTTAACCTTTTTGAGTGTGTCCATAATACGATTGACTCGTAAGTGCGTGGGTGAAGACCTACAGATGGGCAACCCGATTCACATTGGGGTGCCCTGCAATAATAATATCAAAATATTCTGAGCAACCATCAGTTTACAACTGGATTGCCTTAGCCTGATAAGGCACTGATTGGCCCAAGCAAGCAGGTGTTGTCCCAGGGCAGGAAATTCCTCTTGAAGTCAAAAGTAATTTTACAATTGGCTGATTAATAAGAGAAATTGGCTGTAATAGAAAAATCAACTTTGTAAAACAAGGCAGTAATAGAACATGTTAAAAAATAACCAGAGTTAGCAGGTTATAAAATCAACACACAAAAGTCAGAGGCTTTCTTATACACAAACAACCAAGCAGAAGAAACAGAGATAAGAAAAACCATCCCCTTTTCAATTAAAACAAAAAGAATCAAATACCTGGGAGTCAACCTAAAAAAGGAGGTAA